GAGGAAAACATAGGCAGAACACTCCTTCTCGTAAATCGCAGGAATATTTTTTTGGATCCGTCTACTAAAGTAAAGGAAATAAAAGCAAAAATAAATGGAACCTAATTCAACTTAGTTCCCTTTGCTGTGCAAAAGCTTTTATCAACAAAACAAAAAGACAATGTACTATGATCCATTTTGAGTTAATGTTTGGGAAGGGTGTAAGGTCTGTGTCTAGATTTTTTCCCCATGTGGTTGTCCAGTTGTTCTAGCACCGTTTGTTGAAAAGACTATCTTTTCTCCATTGTATTGCCTTTGCTCCTTTGTCAAAGATCAGTTGACTGTATTTATGTTGGTCTATTTCTGGGCTCTGTATTCTGTTCCATTGATCTGTCTGTTGCTAATACCACACTATCTTGATTACTATAACTTTATAGTAAGTCTTGAGGTTGTGTAGTTGTCAGTCCTCCAACTTTGTTCTTTTCATTCAGTATTGTATTGGCTATTCTGCCTTTTTTTCCTCTCCATATAAACTTGATCAGTTTGTCAATCACAAGATCATTTGCTGACATTTTGATTGTGATTGCACTGAATCTATAAATCAAATTAGGAAGAACTGAAATCTTGACAGTATTGAGTCTTCCTATCCATGGAATATCTCTCCATTTATTTAGTTCTCTTCTGATTTCTTTCATCAGAGTTCTGCAGTTTTCTTTATATAGATCTTGTGCAAATTTTGTTAGATTTATATCAGGCGTTTATGGGGGGGCGCTAATGTAAATGGTGTTGTGTTTTTATTTCAAATTCCATTTGTTCATTGCTGGTACATAGGAAATTGATTGACTTTTGTATTAACCTTATATCCTGCACCCTTGCTGTAGTTACTTATTAGTTCCAGGAGTTTTTTGTTTTGGGTTGTGTTTTGGGGGGTTGGATTATTTTGTATGATCATGTCCTCTGCAAACAAAGACAGTTTTATTTCTTCCTTCCCAATCTTTATACCTTTTTTTTCCCTTTTCTTACTGAAGTAGCTGGGACTGCCAGTATGATGTTGAAAAGCAGTGGTGAGAAGGGACATCATTGCCTTGATCCCGATCTTTTAAAGCTTTGGTTTCTCACCCTTAAATATCATGTTAGCTGTAGGTTTTTTGTAGATACTCATTGTCAAGTTGAGGAAATTGCCTTCTAGTCCTAGTTTACTGAGAGTATCCCATTCTTTTAAACAGCTACAGGACATTTTATTGTATTGAAGAACCATATTTACCATATTTAATTCAACTATTCTTCTTTGAACACTTGGTCTGTTTCCATTTCTTTTTGCTGTTGTAAGCAGTACTGCTGTGAACATCCTGTACATAACTCTTTGGGCACATGTATAAGTATTTTTCTGTAACACGTACCTGGAAGTACAATTGTTGGAATAAGAAATATGCGTATTTAAATTATTTTAATTCTTTAAATGTTTAAACAGTTACAGACCCGCAGGAAACTTGCAAGTACAGTACACGGAACTCTTTTCCCCCCAATAATTTAAGAATATGTTACCATGCCCTATCATCCCTTCTCCCACAGCATACTTCAGAGTCCATTTCCTACAGACATCCTTTTGTATATCATCAATGTAACCATCTGAATCAGAAAATTAACATTGATCTGTTAATACTACCTAATCCTAAGACTTCATTCAAGTTTCACCAGTTGTTCCAGTAATATCTAATACAAGGAATTCCCATTTACTATTCACCTAGATTTCCCAGTTTTACCACATTTGCTCTGGTGTGTATATGTATCTCCAAATACCTTTCTTCTGAATAATTTCAGAATCAGTCCCAAACATGATGCCCATTACCTCTTGATACTTCAGTGTGCGTTTCTTAAAAACAAGGACACCCTCCTCCACAACCAGAGTACGTCCATCAAGATCAGGAAATTGACAGTGATCCAGTATTACCATCTAGTCCACAGACCTCATTCAGATTTCACAGATTGTCCCAGTGATGCTCTTTATAGGTTCAGGATCCAATCCAGGAACACCTGTTGGATTTAGCTGTCATGATTTCCCTGATCTCAGGGACTGCGGTCTCTCAGTGCTTATTCAATGCTGAAAGCTGTTGCTTTGTGTTTTGTCTATTTTATGGTTGTTTACGATGGGAAAGCTAATCTAATACCAATTATTTCATCATAGCAAGAAGCAAAAGTCTACTTTAGAAGCTAGGTTATTAAGTGTAAGACTTTTATTTTATTGGTGGATTATATGCTTTATTCCCATAAAATATTGCTCTTTTCCTGTTTAGAGGTTTGGGTCTTAAATTTTATCTTTGTCTTATATTAATATTGTTTCCTTCCTGTTAGCATTTGCCTGATATATTTCTCTATTTTATATACACATATATATGTTTATATATATGTTTGTATATATGTTTTGTTTTCGGTGTATATTTTGTCAACAGCATATAGTAATTTTTTATCCCATTTATCTTTTAAAAAAAAATTTATTTGGCCACGTTGGGTCTTCTTTGCCCCGCGCGGGCTTTCTCTAGTTGTGCCAAGCAGGGGCTACTCGTCATTTTGGTGTGCAGGCTACTCTTCATTGCGGTGCACGGGCTTCTCATTGCGGGGTTTCTCTTGTTGCAGAACATGGGCTCTAGGTGCGCGGGCTTCAGTAGTTGTGATGCACGGGCTCAGTAGTTGTGGCTCGTGGGCTCTAGAGCGCAGGCTCAGTAGTTGTGGCGCACGGGCTTAGTTGCTCCGCGGCATGTGGGATCTTCCTGGACCAGGGCTTGAACCGTGTCCCCTGCATTGGCAGGCAGATTCTTAACTGCTGCGCCACCAGGGAAGTCCCCATTTATCTTTTGATAGGAGATTTATTCTATTTACACTCACTTTTTACTGATATGATTGTACATATTCTTATGTTAAAGTCCATGTTTTCTATTTAACATGTTTTTGTTTCTTTTTTCCGTTTGGTGACTTTTGTTGGATTGAATTTTAGTTGTTGGTGTTGACCTTTCTTTTTTTTTTTCTTGAATAAGTTAGAGGTTATATATCCTATAACTCTTCTTTTAGTGATTACCTATTTTTTTTTGCTATATAAAATGTATTTTTAAAAATAAACTTTTTAAGAACAGTTTTAGATTTACAATGCAAAACTAGTGCAAAGAGTTCTAATGTGCTCTACACCCAGTTTCCCTCATTATTAACATTTTATATTAGCATGGTATGTTCGTCACAATTAATGAACCAACATTGATACACTATTATTAACTAAAGTCCATACTCTATTCATACTTCCTTAGTTTTTACTTAAAGTCGTTTTTTTTGTTCTAGGATCCAATCAAGGGTACCACATGACTTTCCATCATTACATCTCCGTAGGCTCTTCAGGCTATGCCAGTTTCTCAAACTTTGTTTTTGACAGCCTTGACAGTTTTGAGGAGTATTAGTCAGGTATTTTGTCGGATGCCCCTCAACTGGAATTTCTCTGATGTTTTCCTTATGATTATACTGGGGTTATAGAGTTACACTTCCTTGAGAGGAAGACCACACAGGTATAGTGCCCTTCTCATCACATCATATCAAGGGAATATAGTATCAATATGACTCATCACTGTTAAAGTTAACCTTGATCGCCTGGCTGATGTAGTGTTTGTCAGGTTTCTCCACTGGTTTCTCCCCACCTTCTCATACTGTAATCTTGGAAGGAAGTCAACATTTATGGAGAGGAGAGATAGCTACATAAATTAATTTGAATTCTTCTATTCTCTCCTTTTTATGTTTTTGTTCAATTATTTATATCAGCCTGGACTCATGGAAATTTATACTTAGGGTCATAATCCAATACCACTTTATTTTGCTGCTTAAAATTGTTCCACCTTTAGCCATTGAGAACTCTTTCAGTCAGTCCTGTGGTCCTTTGACATATACCAACCAATATCAATACATTTTAAAGTACTTCCTAGCACTGTAAGATGCTCCAAACTCATCTAGATATTTCCTGCCCCAATTCTAGAATCAGCCATATTTCTCCAAGGAGCTCTGGTTCCGTTTATTGGAGAATGGTATTTAGAAACCAAGATCTGGGTGCTCGGTGTGTTCATTGCTACTGGGGTGTTGTTGCTTCTAGGTCTTTGCACCTGACAGAACAAGGGAATATATATCTGCATACTAACCCATGTATATACACGTGTTTATGAATATTTCTATATGTAACCATCTGTATATATATTAAGCTAAATGTGGTTCATACTGAGGTCTCCAACTCTGATCCACTATCACATGGGTCATTCTAGCCTTCTCTTCTTATCTGTAACCTCCCTCTCCAACAGTGAGAAACCTGGCTTCTATAATCCACTGTCCACTTAGTTATTTGTTCAACTTCAGTATACACGCATAGTGGTTTGCTTGAGAGTTAATGTATATACCCCGGTGGGAAACTACATGCCCATCTAGAGGGAATGAAAGCTGTCAAGTTCAATAGCAGTCAGGGTTGGGCAGATGGGTCCACTTCTGAGGACAAATTCTCTTGTGAAAAACTCTTCCCCAGTGCCTTTTTAGTTATGTGTAATTAGTCAGAGATACTAGTCTAGCTGTAGTTGCTGGAATCGGGGGGAAGGTGCCCTGGGTTGCCAAAATGCAGAGCAGCCTTTATGTGAGAGCCGGGATGGGGTGAAAGAACTTGCCCACTATCAGTGGAGTTTTGGGGCTCTGATACTCCCTGTTGCAAAAGTCATACTATAAAGTTTTTTTAAATAAGATTGTACTTCATGTTTCGTACAGTTGAGCCTTCAGCCTTCAAGTAGACTGAAGACTGTTTTGTTGTTGTTGTTTTGGTAGCAATAGGTTGCTTGTCGAAGGATAACAATTCAATATATCTTTGGGTGGTTTCAACTGATTTCCTTTTGTGGCAGTATCTTCAGGACACTGTCTAAAGGGAAGTGACCGTTACGAGAGTATTTCAGTATTATTTTGTGTTTTGCAAAGATAGTTACATTCAAAAATCTTTTTTTTTTTTTAATTTTTAGGATCTGGGGACGTTGGTTTCAGTCTGGAGGATGCATTGGAAGAAACTTCCTCAGTGAAGCGTGAGTAGTAAATCAGACTATTAAAAGCAAATAATAATGCTTAATAGGCACTACCCATTCAGAATACACATTCAGGGAAAACAATAGATGGCCTGTATTTCACCTGATCCGATGTAACATGTTTATCATAAATTGCATTATTTAAAGAAAATCTGAATATTTAAAATCCTTTGTTTCCTTTGTGGAGAATACCAAAAATGTGCAATAACTGATACAGGATTTTCTCTGGCTCAAGTCATAGCCTTTACTGGTGTGACACCTCAGCAGTGGCCTCCAAGGACTATCTTTTTCTAGCTCAGAAAAAGATACTTGGGAATGAATAAAGGATTTGTTTCTCCTTTTAGATCTTTTTATAACAGGTATTCTTAGAACCGTATCTACAGGTAATCTCTCAAATGCTAAGCTTTGTCATCAGTTTCTCTTTACATTTTTTTGAGAAAACAATTTAAACCATTCTTTTAAAAAATGCATGAATGCTTAGAAAGTAAAGTTGATATTTCCATTGATCCCTCCCCATCCTACAACACCCACTCCCATCCCAAGAGGGAGCTGCCTAAGTCAGTTTAAGATATGCTGGTCTCAACTAGTTTTCTCTGCTGTTGTGAACATCTGCACTCATAGATTATTCGGTGATTTTGTTTTACATAACATGTGTAGGGCTTTTTTTCATTTCAGTTATATGTATTTCACAACTTTTAAAAAAACGGAATATGTATTGAAGACCTGAGTGAATATAGCTATCTATGTTAGTTTCCTTTCTTACAGGCAGCTGTAACAAAGTACCACAGACTGGGTGGCCTAAAACCACAGAAATTTATTCACTCACAGTTCTTGAGGCCAGAAGTCCAAAATCAAGGTGTCGGTAGGACCATACGCCTGCTTGAAGGCTCTAGGGGAAGAATGCTTCCTTGCCTAGCCTAGCTTCTGGCGGCTCCAGGTGGTCCTCGGCTTGCAGCTGCATGGCTTCAGTCTCTGCCTCCGTCTTCACTTGGCCTTCTCCTTGTGTGTGTGACTTCTCCTCTTCAGTCTCTTATAAGGACACTTTTTGTTGGTTTTAGAGCCCATCTGGATAATCTTGAATGACCTCATCTCAAGATCTTTACTTAATTACATCTGCAAAGACCCTTTTTCCAAATAAGGTCGCATTCATAAGTTCTGGAGCTTAGGACTTGGCTATATATTTTGGGGGCCACTATTCAACACACTATATTATGTATATATCTATATTTTTATACCTATATCTCATTCACAAACGTATGCTTCATGGAGCTGGCATTCCAGTGGTGTGGCTTTGGCCATGGCCAGTGATGCCACTTCTTACTGGCAGGCACGTGGTTTGTTTCTGTTTTGCACAATTACAAATGGGACTTCAGTGAACATTCTTGTCTATTTCCTTTGTGTCCAAGTATAATGAAACTATCAGGCCAAAGGGTATATGTATTTTATATTTTAATAGATTTTGACAAATTGTTTCGAAAATGCATGTGCCATTGTGTACTCCCACTGATGCTGTTACAAGAGTACGTTTTCCCCCAGACCCGTACCATCGCCAGATTTTACCAAACAAAAACATTTTACCAGTATGATGGATAAAAAATCATATATATTTTTGCCATTTGCATTTTCCTCTTGGTGAATTGTCTGTTCATATCCTTTCCCCATTTTCTGCCAGGTTGCTTGTCTTTTTTTTTTTTTTTAATGAGTTTGAGAGGTCTCTTTGTATATTCAGGACTGACAAAGGCACGGGCTCTGGAGTTAGACTGCCTGTGTCTGAACCCTGCCTCTGCCACTTATTAACTGTTACCTTGGGTGAGTTATCTGACTTCTTTGCACCTCAGTTTCCTCATCTGTTGCATGAGGTTAATAATAATAAATTAATAATAATTGTAAGGGTTAGATAAGATGGCCCCTATGAAGTGTTCAGCAGAGGACTCAGTACAAGGTGAGTGCGCAGTGTCAGCCATTATTATTGTTCTTTGACTGATTTCATTGGAATGACTTACTGCAGCTGAGTCTGTGGTGTAAGAGTCAGGCATACGTGAGGAATGCTCACCTGCTTAAATTGATCAACAAATTCAACATAATTCCCGTCAAACTTCCAGATAGAATTTTTGCAGACAAGCAGATCCTAAAATACATATGGAAATTCATGGAACCCAGAATAGTCAAAACAATCTTGAAAGAGAAGAAAAAGTTGGAGGACTCACACTTCTAAATTTCAGAACTTACTACAAACGTGCAGTAATCAAGATAGTGTGGTACTTATCATAAAGATAGACATAGAGCTCAATGGAATAAAATTGAGAGTCTAGAAATGAACCATTACATCTATGGCCAGTTGACTTTTGACCAAGATGCCGAGACTATTCAATGTGGGAAGAATGGTGTCTTCAATAAATGGTGCTGAGACAATTGGATATCCACACGCAAAAAATGAACTTGGATCCCTGCCTTATACATTACACAAAAATTAACTCAAAATGGATCATATACCTAAAAATGAACTTCTAAGAGCTTTATAGTTTTGTGTGTGGTGTGAGGTGAGAGCCTTGAGCATTTTCAGGTCTTTCCTGAACATGTCCACAGTCCTATACGTGCAGGTGGCCTTTTAGATTCCCAGGAAAATAAATATACTTAATTTATTAGCAGCGATGGTTTTAATGAAATTGTTTAACATTTCCAAAACCAAACGTGACCAAACAACAAAACAAACACAGTAAGTATAAACAGACCCCTAACTAGTAAATTTGTTAATTTCCTGATGGAGGACTTTTTAATATTTATATCCCTTTGTCAACTGTGCACTGGCTCTTCTGATCTTCATCAGCACCCATGAGCCAGTGTGTCTGGGACCTGTAGGACCACCAGCACATGGTGTCTTCGGTTGAATGACATCCTTCAAGACCACATCGCTCTGCCATCCTTTTTTTCTATCTTGGCTGCTTTCACTTAGCGTAACACTTTCAAGGTTCACCGTGTTGCTTTCAGAATTTGCCCCTCCCTCTCACCTGCCTTCACTTCCTACTTCCCTCCATCTCTCCCCTCATCTCTCCCTTTTTCTCTCTGTGTGCAATCATCTCACAGGGGGAACCCACTTCTGCCTTTGCCGAATCAAGCTTCTTATGTGTGCCCTGATTTTCTCCAAATGCCATGGCACTGTCGTTAAGCCACACCCAGGGGTGCGGCACACCTTACAAAGAGGTGCTCCGGGCAGGAGTGCAGTGTTGCAGGCAGCGTTTGCTGAGCATCAGAGAATCCTTTCTAAGTTTGTCATTTTGAGCAAGGCTTCACAGGAACAGATGTCTTTATTTTAGGAGCTCTTTGCTTTGATGACGGTGACCTACTATTCTAATTCCTTGATAAGTAGCTAGACTTTGCTCATCTCAACTATGGATGATAATAAATCCCATTTAAAGGCTCACAACAAGAAAATCTGTAGTTAATGGTATCTTAAAAGTACACAAATCCAAGGTCATGCTCTGTATCACTGCAGGCTCAGGCTCTGGCAGAGCATCGGGTTCCCTAGACATGTAAGGAGCGCATTCTCTTGAACCGGCACCTGCAGATCTTCCGAGAAACCAGGCTCCTCAGAAACTGTGAGTAGTAGGGCAGAGGTCCACAAAGCTATCGTGATCAAGACAGTGTGGCACAGCATAAGGATAGAACAGAAATCAGAGTCCCCCAAGTAAACCCTTCACATCTACGTTCAGTTGATTTCTTTTTAAAGCTGGAAAAAAAATATATTTACACAAGCACTGCATGAAGCATACGGATTTTAAGCTAATATTATATAAGTGGCAATTGCTTTTCTGAAAGTTGCACAAATAATGGTTTCAGTAATGTCATTTCCCTTTCCTAACTATACATATCACCATAATGTAAGGTATACATAAGGAGCCCCATTTAGACAGGTAAGCTGTACTTCTTCGTATTATAGGTGCAAAGTCAAATGGAAATTACAGATATAAAACCATCTCTAAACTGATGATCTAGATTTAAAAACTACATAATGACAACAGATTATCACTTGTGGTTCCCTTACCGTAAAAATCCATCCACTGGTGTGGCCTCCACATTGAAGTATGCATTCGTGTACCCAAAGCCTTCACAAAGAGTGAAGGAAGTATGATCATTTTAAGAGAAAGACTTTCCGTATTCTCAACTTCCCTATATACTTTTACTAAAACTGAATTGTGGTAGAATGCACATGCAGTTGTGATGATACCCTCCTTTTCCACCCTCCCCTCTTTGTAAGTAATCTATTGAAGTAAAATTCACGTAACATAAAATTAGCCATTTTAAAGCGAACAATTCAATAGCATTTTAAGACGTTCACCGTGGTGCAACCACCACCTCTATCCAGTCCTAAAACATTTCCATTACTCCAGAGTAAGAACCCTTACCCATTAAGCAGTTTCTTCTCATTTCTCCCTCCCCCTAGCCCCAGACAATCATCAGTCTACTTTCTGTATCAGTTGACTGATCTCTCCAAGATATTTCATATAAATAGTATCATATAATGCGGAACCTTTTGTCTTTGGCTTCTCTCACATAGCATAATGTTTTGGAGGTTCATCCACCTTATAGCATGTATCAGTGTTTCATTCCTTTTTATGTCTGAGTAATATTCCATTGTATGGATAGACCACAGTCTTATCTATTCATCAGTTGATGGACGTTTGACTGTTTCCATCTTTTGTCTATTATGAAGAATGCTGCTATGAACATGCACGTACATGTTCTTGTTTGCATGTACATGTTCTTGTTTGAATACCTGCTTTTAATTCTTTAGGGTGTATACCCTGGGAGTGGAATCACAAGGTCATATGGTCATTCTGTGTTTAACTTTTGGAGGAACTGCCAAACTTTTTTCCATAGTCGCTGTACCATTTTACACTCCTACCAGCAGTGTATGAGGATTCCAATTTTTCCACATCCTCACCAGCTTATTTTCCTTTTTTCCCCCAGACTTTTGTACCCTTTGACTGACACCTCCTCCATTTCCCTCTCCCCCAAGCCCCTGGTGACCACCATTCTACTCTCTATGAATTTGACTATTTTAGATTCCTCATAAAAGTAGAGTCACGTAGTATTCTTTTGTGTCTGGCTTCATTTAGCATGATGTCCTCCAAGTCCGTCCATGTTGTCCCAAAGGGCAGGATTTTCTTATTTTTTAAGGATGAATAGTATTCCATTGCATGTATGTTCCACGTTTTCATTATCCAGTCATCCATCAATGGACACTTGAGTTGTTTCCATATTGTGGCTATTGAGATTAACGCTACAGTGAACTTGGACATGTTGTTACCTCTTTGAGATCCTTATTTCATTTCTTTTGGATATATACCCAAAAGTAGGATTGCTGGATCAAATGATAGTTTTTTTTAAAAATGTTTACTTATTTTTTATTTATTTATTTTTGGCTGCATTGGGTCTTCATTGCTGCGTGGGCTTTCTCTAGTTGCAGAGAGCAGGGGCTACTCTTTGTTGTGGTGCACAGGCTTCTCATTGCTGTGGCTTCTCTTGCAGAGCACGGGCTCTAGGCACGTGTGCTTCAGTAGTTGTGGCTCACGGGCTCCAGTAGTTGTGGCTCGTGGGCTCCAGTAGTTGTGGCTCATGGACTCTAGAGCGTAGGCTCAGTAGTTGTGGCGCACGGGCCTAGTTGCTCCGCAGCATGTGGGATCTTCCCGGACTAGGGCTCGAACCCGTGTCCCCTGCATTGGCAGGCGGATTCTTAACCACTGCACCACCAGGGAAGTCCCCAAATGATAGTTCTGTTTTTCATTTTTTTGAGGAACCTCCATACTGTTTTCCATCGTGGGTGTACCATTTTACATTCCCACCGACAGTGTAGGAGGGGCTCCTTTTTCTCCACAACCTCATCAACACATTATCTTTTGTTTCTTTGATAGTAGTAATCCCAACAGGTATGAGATGATGTCTCATTGTGGTTTTGATTTGCATATCCCTGATGATTAGTGATGTTGAGCATCTTTTCATGTACCTGATGGCCATTTGTATGTTTTCTTTGGAGAAATGTCTAAGTCCTTTGCCCATTTTTTAAAATTGAAGTATAGTAGTTGATGTACAATATTATGTAAGTTACAGGTGTACAGTTTAGTGCTTCACAATTTTTAAAGGTTATACTCCATTTATAGTTATTATAGAATATTGGCTGTACTCCCTGTGTTGTACAGTATATCCTTGTAGCACATTTTATATATAATAATTGGCACCTCTTAGTCCCCTACCCCTATCTTGCCCCTCCCCCCTTCCTTCTCCCCACTGGTAACTACTAGTTCATTTTCTATATCTGTGAGTCTGTTTCTTTTTTAAGTGTTCACTAGTTTGTCGTATTTTTTAGATTCCACATATAAGCGCTATGATACAGTATTTGTCATTCAGTTATCATAAAACCCTCCAAGTCTTTCCATGTTGTTGCAGAGGGCAAAACTTCATTCTTTTTTATGGCTGAGTAGTATTCCATTGTGTGTGTGTGTGTGTGTGTGTGTGTGTATACACATCACTTCTTTTTCCATTCATCTGTTGATGGACACTTATATTGCTTCCATATTTTGGCAATTGTAAATAATGCTGCTGTGAACGTTGTGGTGCATGTATCTTTTTGAATTAGTGTTTTGGGGGTTTTTTTGGATATATACCCAGGAGTGCAATTGTTGGGCCATATGGAAGTTCTATTTTTAGTTTTTTAAGAAACCTCCATACTGTTTTCCACAGTGGCTGGACCAATTTACATCCCTACCAACAGTGTAGGAGGGTTCCCTTTTCTCCACATTGTTGCCAACATTTTTTGTGTGTGGTCTTTTTGATGGTAGCCATTCTGACAGGTGTGAGGTAATATCTCATTGTGGTTTTGATTGGCATTTCCCTGATGATAAGTGATGTTGAGCCTCTTTTCATGTGTCTGTTGGCCATCTGCATTTCCTCTTTGGAAAAATGTCTGTTCACTTCTTCCCATTTTTTAATCGGGTTGTTTGGGTTTTTTTGATGTTGAGTTGTATGAGCTGTTTGTATGTGTTGGATGTTAATGCCTTATCGATCAATCATTTGCAAATATTTTCTCCCATTCAGTAGGTTGTCTTTTTGTTTTGTCAGTGGTTTCCTTTGCTGTGACAGAAATTTTCATATGTTGTGTTCTTATTTTCATTCATCTCAAGTGTATTTTATGATTTCCCTGGTGATTTCTTCCCTGAACCATTGGTTATTAGGAGTGTGCTGTGTAATTGCCATATAGCTGGAAAATTTTCAAATGCCCTTCTGTTAATGATTTCTATTTTCATTCCATGGTGGTTGGAGAACACAATTTGTATGATTTCAGAATTTTAAAATATATTGAGATATGTTTTGTAGCCTAGCATGTGGTCTTTCTTGGAGAATGTTCCATGGTAACTGAGCAGAACGTGTTTGCTGTTTTGAGGGCATGCGTTCTATAGATGTCTGGTAGATCTAGTTGGTTTATAGTGTCGTTCAAATCTTGTATTTCCCTTTTGTTCTATTTATGATTGAAAGGATTGTATTGAGATATCCAGCTATTGTTGAATTGTCTATCCTTCCCTTCAGTTTTGTTACGTTTTGCTTCATATATTTTTGGGGTTCTATTGTTAGGTGCACATGTTTAAAATTGTATATCGTACTGCTGGGTTTATCCTTTTATCAGTATAAAATGTCACACTTTGACTCCTATGACAATTTTTGTCTTAAAGACTACTTTATCTGATAATGGTGTAGCTCCCCCAGCTCTCTTATGGTTGCTATTTGTATACTATACCTTTATCCATCCTTTTACTTTCAACCAATTTCTATTTTTGCTGTTTTTTTCTGGGTAGTTGATTAATTTTTGAATGGTTGCTGTGCACAAAGCCAAACCTGTTTCATCTCTGCCTCTCCCATTACTTAAATTTCATTTCCCTCTTCCACCTCTAATTGTAGGAACAGTTACAGCATAGTCTTTTTTGGGAGGCTTCATTATTTTTATTTGTTTAACAACATAGTCTTGAAGTTCAAGAAAAACTATTGGAAAACTCCTGTGTGGCATGCTACGTAATTGATGTGCAAGAAGTCCACAATTTTAAAGGAATATGGTTGAGCTGAAAGACCTAGTATTAACAGCAGTAACCACACTTATATACAATATTTTGTTGGTGCTGTAACCGCTTTCAGCTGATGAGACACTCCCATACTCTACTGGGAACATAACGTCACTTCATCCCTGGGCAGTATTACCTGTGATTACGGTGCCGGGTTGAGAGTGGTGACAGCCAAGGCTTGGAGCTCTCAGGGGTTGTGCTCAAGCTCTGGCACCCCCTGAAGCATGTGGTCATCTCCTGTAGATCTGGGCTCAAGTCCCAGCTCCACTAGTCACCAGATCAAATGTGGGATCATGTCCACCTCACCACCCGTCCTGTGAAGAAAAGCAAGCAGAACTCGTCTCATGTAAACCCTCTTACATCTCTTTGTCATCCTCGAGGTGGTTCTTCAGAGGCATTAGAGGGACCTCAGGACCAGGACAGGAGTGCTGTGCTCGTGCTGTGACTTCCCTGAGCCGTGCAGTGGCTGCTGTGTGTGTTACTAATTGTGCTCCCCTTGCTGCCCCCCTTCCGCCTTTTAGAGAGATGGGACCGCGTCACCACCACAACCAGGAGACCGGGAGCGACCAGAGCTCCAGCAAAGCCTGCAGGTAACACGGCTGTTCTGAGGAGGGCACTAAGCAGGGACCCCGTGGAGCTCCTTCTGGGATAGTACCCAGTTGAACTACCCATAGTTTTAAGTCCTGTGTGTGTAATGCCAACCGAGACCTTCATCTGAACGCTGGGTTTAACTTAATAGAGTATGACCAGTCACTGTGACTTCTGTGTGTTTTATGAAAAGTCCTGCTTGGGAGAATTTCAGGAGAGAAATGCATTTGGACTTCCTCCCCTTTTCAACCATTTTACACTCTAAAATCAGGGAAGATATAATTGTTTAGGTTTTATGAAGCCCATCAAACATTTTCTTTAGGCAGATGGAGCATTTTGAAATGGCATTTGCTTTACAGTGTCATCTTTCACTGAAGGATTTTGGAACTTGTTGCTTCTTTGTGACTCTTTCCTGGAGCTGTTTTAACTTTTCTCCAGATGGGCCATTTTACTATTCAGATATCTTCACTGATATAAAGAGAAACGTAGCCTTGGGGTGGGGAGCGCAGTCGTTGCTCCCATCTGGCAACTTGTTACTAGTACTTAAGGAGCATGCTACCGCGTTCCTTGAAGTGGATAGCTACCTTTCTTCTGAAGAGACAGACATGACCCAAAAGAGTGAGTGCTGCTTTACAGTTTGCCCTCACGTCTTCACACCTGCAGCCTCAAAGAGGCGCATTGTGACCACGTAGCCTCCCTCTTGAGTGTCCAGTTTCTGACTCTATGCAGCTGGTTTTGAATCTTGGGTTAATACCTATAATCAGTGAGTTTACTGTTAAAATGGTCTGACTGCTGGCCTAAGCAAAGCATGTGTGGGAATATAAAGTAGTGGAAAATTGGTAAATATATTGCAAAGGCAGAAAGCAGTAACTTGCTCCATCCTGTTGGTATTTCCATTATCAGTGTCTGTAGGAGTCAGACCCCAATTTAAGTTAACTTGTACCCAGTTGCTAATCAGTTGGCTGTTTTTTTTTATGTTTTGGGGCTTCACTGAAGGTAGTAAATTTGACTTGGCCGATGCCTTGGATGATCGAAATGATCAGGATCATGGCCACAGGAAGCCGAGTGCAGGAGGAGGAGGTAAGTCACAGCTGGTTGAAAGCACAGGCCAGTGCTGTAGCTCCCCGGTCAGGGTGTAGCTCATTAACTACAACAGCCCACAGAGCCACTCCTGGCCTGGCAGAGCTGGGGGCACTTCAAAGCCCGGGAGAGCCCTACAACAGTGGTTCTCAAACGTTTTGGTCTCGGGACTCCTCAAATTATGGAGGATCTCTATTGAGGTGTGGGTCACGTCTATCAATATTTATCATCTTTGAACTTAAAACTGAAAAAAAATTTTAATATTTTTATTAATTTTAAATGAACAATAATACGGCCATAACTGTTAAGATAAATAGCATATTTTTATGGTAAATGACCATGCTTTTCCTAGTGGAAGAGCTGGGTCTCACATCTGCTTCTAGATTCAATTGTTGTGTTGAAGTATATGAAAGAAGTCTGGCTTCCTGTAAATATACAGCTGGAAAATGGAGGAATATTTCAATTGACTATTCATGTAATTATGGACATTCTTCTTTGATACGACACAAAAATTCAGCCATTGGCTGTTTCTTACAGGTTAAGTGCAGCGTGGAGTATGAAACCGCATGAGTGAATCTTCCATCCTTGACCCCAGTGAACCCCCCTCTCTTATCCTTTGAATGGATCTTTTACTGGTCGTGGTTTGGGAGCATCGTGCACTGGTCCCTGGGAAAATGTCGGTGCCATGCCTTATGCAGACCTTCCCTGTGTTGACGCATTCCATTCTACATCAGAACATCACATATGTTACTATCACCACCCATCTCATTGGAAAAAGCCTTTAAGTATCGGGAAGCTGTCAAGCTCACAGTAGTAGTTTTTCAAAATTCTTAGCGTTGCTTGAAATCTTAAATTTTACCATTGGCAAAAAATACTGTTAGTTGTTTCCCTTGAAATGAAGGGCTCACTTCATTCATTTGCAAGAAAATGTCTGTCAGATATTCAAGTCAGTGTAACCGTAGTCGTACTACTGAATCCTTCAAGGAAGAATCTTGTATGAGAGAAGTGGCTAGCACTGCTTAGAACTGATAGTCGCGCAAATGCTTTTCCTGTGTCAACCTCTGTATTTTGAGGTGCCACAGAAAAGCTTTAAGCATACTTGCTGTTTTATCAGAATATTAAAAGGGCACATTTTCATGAAAGTAATAATTTTTCTGCTCATATTCGTTTTCCAGTGCTGCCTAACGTATTACCACAAACTTGCTGGTTTAAAACAATTTTCAATTATTGGGTTGGCCAAAAAGTTCGTTTGGGGTTTTTGGTTTTTTTTTTTTTTTTTTTTTTTGGGGACAATTTCTTTTTTTTTTTTTTTTTTTTTTTTTTTTTTTTTTTTGGGGGCCAATCCTATATTTTCTTTCTTTTTTTTTTTTTTAGCATCTTTACTGGAGTATAATTGCTTTACAATGGTGTTTTAGTTTCTGCTGTATAACAAAGTGAATCAGCTATCCGTATACACATATACCCACATCCCCTCCCTCTTGCGTCTCCCTCCCACCCTCCCTATCCCACCCCTCTAGGTGGTCACAAAGCACCGAGCTGATCTCCCTGTGCTATGTGGCTGCTTCCCACTAGCTAGCTATTTTACGTTTGGTAGTATTTATAAGTCCATGCCACTCTCTCACTTCGTCCCAGCTTACCCTTCCCCCTCCCCGTGTCCTCAAGTCCATTCTCTGTGTCTTAAATAAAGTCTGCGTCTTTATTCCTGTCCTGCCCCTAGGCTCTTCAGAACCTTTTTTTTTTTTTTAGATTCTATATATATGTGTTAGCATACTGTATTTGTTTTTCCCTTTCTGACTTGCACTCTGTATGACAGACTCTAGGTCCATCCACCTCACTACACATAACTCAATTTCGTTTCTTTTTATGGCTCAGTAATATTCCATTGTATATATGTGCCACATCTTCTTTATCCATTCATTGTCGATGGACACTTAGGTTGGTTCCGTGTCCTGGCTATTGTAAATAGAGCTGCAATGAACATTTTGGTACATGACTCTTTTTGAATTATGGTTTTCTCAGGGTATATGCCCAGTAGTGGGATTGCTGGGTCATATGGTAGTTCTATTTTCTGTTTTTTAAGGAACCTCCATACTGTTCTCCATAGTGGCTATATCAGTTTACATTCCCACCAACAGTGGAAGAGTCCAACCCTATATTTTCTAAGTTTCTCTGTGCTGCTGAAGTCCAGATGTTTAACTGTCAAACCTTTTTTGACAAAATAACCTTGATTCTCAACTTTCCCTTTGCCTACTTTTATTTTTTGTACTTTATTTGTTTTTATTTATTTATTTTTGGCTGTGTTGGGTCTTCGTTGCTGCACGTGGGCTTTCTCTAGTTGTGGTGAGCGGGGGCTACTCTTCATGGTGGTGCATGGGCTTCTCACTGCAGTGGCTTCTCTTGTTGCGGAACATGGGCTCTAGGCACACGGGCTTCAGTAGTTGTGGCTTGCGGGCTCTAGAGTGCAGGCTCAGTAGTTGTGGCACACGGGCTTAGTTGCTCTGCAGCATGTGGGATCTTCCTAGACCAGGGCTCAAACCCGTGTCCCCTGCATTGGCAGGCGGATTCTTAACCACTGCGCCACCAGGGATGTCCCCTTTGCCTACTTTTAACAAATTTATTTTTAGATAATTACAGATTTACATGTAGTTGTAGGAAATACTACAGAAAGAGCCGTTATCCCCTTCACCTAGTTTTCCCCAGTGGTAACATGTTGCAAATTGTACTATAATATCACAAACATTTTGTTTGTTTGTTTTTTAAAAAAACTCATGTATTTTTTAAAATTTGATTTTTATTGAGGCAACATTGGCTTATAACATTATATAAGTTTCATGTGTACAACCTTATATTTCTACTTCTGTATACACTACAGGGTGCTCACCACCAAAAATTTAGTTTCCTCCATGACCATAGAGTTGATCCCCTTTACCCATTTCACACCCCGCCCCCACTCTGGTAATGACTATTCTGTTCTCTGTATCTGTGTGTTTGTTTTTGTTTGTCACAACCATTTTATTCAGGTTTCCCAGTTTTTACTTGTACTCACTTCTGTGTGCGTGTGTGCTTAGTTTTTTGCAGTTTTATCACATGTGCAGGTTTGTGTATTTGCCATGATAGGCAGGCACAGAACAGTTCCATCATTATAACTATTGTTGTTGGGTGAACTGTTCTCTATATGTCACTTAGATCTTGATGGTTGGTTGTGTTTACTGGTTCTTCTGCATCCTTGATGATTTTTTGTCTAATAGTTCTGTCAATTGCTGTGAGTAGGGTGTTGAATTCCCCAACTGTAGCTGTGGATTTGTACCTCCTCTTAGCTCTCTGTTTCCGCCTCATGTATTTTAAGTCTGCTTTTTTGGTGCATCCAAATTTAGGATCATGATGTCTTCCTGATAGGCTTATCCTCTTATCATTATGTCCCTTTTTTCTTCTCTAGCACTTTCCTTGCTCTGAAGTTTCCCTTATCCACTATTAATATAGCCACTTCTGCTTATTCTTTTTTTTTTTTTAGTATTTATCAGCTCTACTTTATTTTATTTTTTTAACATCTTTATTGGAGTACCATTGCTTTACAATGGTGTGTTAGTTTCTGCTTTATAACAAAGTGAATCAGTTATACATATACACATGTTCCCATATCTCTTCCCTCTTGCATCTCCCTCCCTCCCACCCTCCCTATCCCACCCCTCTAGGTGGTCACAAAGCACCGAGCTGATCTCCCTGTGCTATGTGGCTGCTTCACACTAGCTATATATTCTACATTTGGTAGTATATATATGTCCATGCCACTCTCTCACTTTGTCATAGCCTACCCTTCCCCCTCTCCACATCCTCAAGTCCATTCTCTAGTAGGTCTGTGTCTCCATTCCCGTCTTACCCCTAGGTTCTTCATGACCTTTTTTTCCCCTTAGATTCCATATATATGTGTTAGCATATGGTATTTGTTTTTCTCTTTCTGACTTACTTCACTCTGTATGACAGAATCTAGGTCCATCCACCTCACTACAAATAACTCAATTTCGTTTCTTTTTATGGCTGAGTAATATTACATTGTATATGTGTGCCACATCTTCTTTATCCATTCATCCGATGAAGGACACTTAGGTTGGTTCCATCTCCGGGCTATTGTAAATAGAGCTGCAATGAACATTTTGGTACATGACTCTTTTTGAATTATGGTTTTCTCAGGGTATGTGCCCAGTAGTGGGATTGCTGGGTCGTATGGTAGTTCTATTGGTAGTTTCTTAAGGAGCCTCCATACTGTTCTCCATAGTGGCTGTATCAATTTACATTCCCACCAGCAGTGCAAGAGTGTTCCCTTTTCTCCACACCCTCTCCAGCATTTACTGTTTCTAGATTTTTTGATGATGGCCATTCTGACCGGTGTGAGATGATATCTCATTGTAGTTTTGATTTGCATTTCTCTAATGATTAATGATGTTGAGCATTCTTTCATGTGTTTGTTGGCAATCTGTATATCTTCTTTGGAGAAATATCTATGTAGGTCTTCTACCCATTTTTGGATTGGGCTGTTTGTTTTTTTTTGTTATTGAGCTGCATGAGCTGCTTGTAAATTTTGGAGATTAATCCTTTGTCAGTCGCTTCATTTGCAAATATTTTCTCCCATTCTGAGGGTTGTCTTTTGGTCTTGTTTACGGTTTCCTTTGCTGTGCAAAAGCTTTTAAGTTTCATTAGGTCCCATTTGTTTATTTTTGTTTTTACTTCCAATTCTCTAAGAGGTGGGTCAAAAAAGGATCTTGCTGTGATTTATGTCGTAGAGTGTTCTGCCTATGTTTTCCTCTAAGAGTTTGATGGTTTCTGGCCTTACATATAGGTCTTTAATCCATTTTGAGCTTATTTTTGTGTGTGGTGTTAGGGAGTGTTCTAATCTCATTCTTTTACATGTACCTGTCCAGTTTTCCCAGCACCACTTATTGAAGAGGCTGTCTTTTCTCCACTGTATATTCTTACCTCCTTTATCAAAGATAAGGTGACCATAT